ACATAAAATATATTTAATTATGATGTGAGTCTATTATAGTGAATTTATTATATCACTTGTAGTCTATATTAAGAAACCAGTATTCATTTTTTACAGCCACTTATCTCGCAGTCATCTTCTTTAAAGATACTTTAGTGCTTGAAATAATATTGGCAAACACAGGGTTAATAAACCAGTATGACCATAGACAGGTTAAGTTTCTGTATAGCATAATAGGTTGCAGGAAATCTAGTCACAAAAATGGAAAAAATATACATAAAGAGAAGGAATGATTCAATTGTTTATTTTTACCAGAAGATAAACATTTCAGAACATAGACTAAAAGAATGCTATTGCAGGGCTGGAAAGAGGACTTGGCAACCAAAAGCACTTACAGAGGACCCGGATTCGGTTCCCAGCACCAACATAGCAGCTAACAACCATCCCTAACTCCAGTTCCAGAAGATGTGACACCCTCTTCTGACATCTGTAAACACTGAACAACATGGGTGCACTTACACTCATGCAGGCAATACACTTACACAAATAAATGAAAAAATAAAAATAATAAGTGAAAGAATGTTTACTGCTAATCAAAAACAGACAAAAAGTATAAATTAAGATTTTACTAGTTACTTTAGTATGTACATTAAGAATCTCATTGCAAGGTAAAACAGATATATAGATTTAAGGGCATTTAACATTTAGGCACAAGTTATGAGACCTTACTTTTTAATGAGCCTAAGTCTCCAGCCTAAGTCTCCTAGATAAAACATAGAAATCATCACGGGGTAAGCCATGCTACATGCCAAAGTGCTATTTTGGATTGTGTATGGTGCCCATTGCTTCAATTCTATTTTTAAAACATGCTATAGTTACTACTTTTCCTAGAGTCATCACCCTTTTTAGATTTCTACAAAGCACCCTGAGAAGAAACAGGTAAGTAAACTTAAAGCAGAATCAAAGTAATGTTACCATAAGGATATAGTGTACACAGATTTCCTCCACAGCAATTAAAAATCAAGAATTAAATTAATTCTATTATATGCCAGGACTAAGAACTATTTTAAAGTATATTTGATATATAATCACACTTTTCTTTTTGGTGCCCCACTGAGCTACAACTCCATCCATAAAAAAGTTGATAATCTAAAAGGATAAAAAATGGAAAATTACATAAACAAAAACTCTACATTAACTAAAATTGCTCAATATAGGTTTTTTTTAACTTCTCCATTCCTACATATATGGCAGTTTTGTGATTATTACCTACACACTCTAAAATTATGTCATATACAGAATCATTTCATCTACTTAACAATACAAAACAGTAGTTTATCTATAGCCCAATTTGGCTGGGCATGGTGATACACGCCTTTAATCCCACCATTGGAGAGAGAGGCAGACAGATCTCTGAGCGTTTTCCAGACTGGTCCATATAGTGAGTTCCAAGCTAGTCAAGGCTACACAGTGAGACCCTGTCTCAACAAACAAACAAACACATAAATTCTTTAAGCGTGTGCTAGGCAGAAAGCATGCCAAACAAGAGAAATAAAATAGGAATCTTAATGCTAATGAAAACCATCTGGGCTGTCTAAAAAATCTGCCTATGTAAAACTTTTCAATAATCATCAATCAATCAATCTCACAATACGCTAGGTTTACAATAAAAGTGGAAGTGACAAGTTAGCTCCCTCAGGAAGTTTTGTCTTGACCACACAGACGTCCACTCTTTCATGAGTTCATGATCCTTCACGTGTGCATTTGACAAACCTTCGCACAGCATATTTTTGTACCTATATTCTCCACTAGACTATATATATTCTCCGCTATACTATACATAGTTAAGAGGTAAGTTCTGTGCTTAACTCTGACTCATATACCCACAATACTTACCTGAGTGCCCAGTACTAAAACTCAATAAATAACCACGTTATGAATACAGTCTTCTCCTGAATTTACATTTTCAGTATTTTCAGAATAAATGATGGAGTTTTTTCTATTCTTATTCCTGCCTCTCAGCAGCTCCTATTTTTTAAATAATTTATTGAGAATTTCATACATGTATATAAGGTGTCTTGATCAAGTCCATGCCCACTCCCTCCCCTTCAATTCCTCCCATATCTCCCCATCACTTTTTTTTTCTGATAACTTCATATACTCTTTCTTCTTCTTTGACTTATTTTTATGGGGCTGTTGGCTACTCTAACATTCCCCCTCTGAAGAGGTAACCCTAAAATCTTTTAAGGATTAGATACAGTCTCCCAAATACTTTTGACATTTTTGGCCTTTGGAACAGAGTATGTTGCTAAGAGGCCCAAGGACACTTTGACTTTTAGCCAAGAAACTGGGTACTATTCTTTGGGGTCTTTTTACCCTAACTGCCTAGCCAATTCCTACCTCCTTTAACACCATCCTCTGAAGAGGTTACCCAAATTGCCAATAGGGAATAGGGATGCGGACCACTCTGGCTTCTTCCATGCTGAACAGGAACGCAGGGTTAGGCAATGCAGGGTGAGGCAACTGGAGTAAGTGGGTCTATCTAAAAGATTCCCAGATTGCATAACTCTTATCTCTAAGGGGAAAAGAAAGTCCTTGAATCATGAATTGGAGATGTGAAGGAGAAGTAAAGGCAAGAGTAATTAGCATTACAAGTTCTAGACAAGGAACTAGAAAAAAGTCAGAACAGGGCAATTTTCAAATGTTCATATGAGAGTCCATTGACAAGAGCTTCTAAAAGCATCCCTCTATTGGGTTTTTCCTCATTTTTCTTTTGTCTTCCAAGGCTGTATTCTAGAGTGATGGATTCAGCATTTGCTTTCAGGTATTTTGATATCAGTAGTTCCTATGTTACCTTTTCTAATTTCTCTTCTCCCTATTCCCCAAGACACTCTATTCTTCTATTTACTTGTTCATTCAAATAATTAATATTTGCCAAATACCTACTATGTGCTAGGTAGTATATAAAGGGGTTAATAAGTTCTTTAGGAAACCAAGAGATTAAGGAAAGTAGATAGATACACAGATAATTCTAAAGCTATGTGAGAAACACTAAGATACATATGAACAAAAGAGTGTGTAAAAAGAAAGAAAGACATTTAAGACCCTTGCTCTAAGTTTTAGCCTGTAGTTTATAACTTCCTCTGCATCATTTTCTTCCCTGGTCATCTATCCAACAATTTTTAATCATTAAGTAGATAATATATGCATGTAATAAAACACAAAAGCTACAGAGGAATACATAATTGAAAAATAATTCTTAGGGGCTGGAGAGATGGCTCGGCAGTTAAGAACTGTGCCGTTCTTGGAGAGGACTTGGGTTCAGTCCCCAGCAACAACATGGCAGCTAACAATTGTCCATAACTCCAGTTCCAGGGGAACTAACATCTTCTAGACTCCACGGACATTGCACAACATGGATGCACTTATATAGATGTAAGAAAAACACTCATATACATAAAATAATAATACATTTTTAAAAATCCTTCCTTTCATTCTGCACTTAGTCACCCAGTTAATCTACCAAAAGGCAAGCTCTGATTTCCAGTGGACAATTAAGAGATAGTCAATACATACACAAAGGTATATACAAATATACATGGTTTTAGAAGCTTTCAGCACAATGACAGCAAACTTCACATTCTTTCATATTTTAACACTTGGTATTTAAGCAGTTTTCTTACCAGATACTCATTTAAGGTACCACAATTCTCAAATTAATGTGTTTATTCTTATGTTATTGGTGATATATCTTCATGTCTATGAGATAAATTACTAGAAATGAAATTGCTGAGTATCTTAGTTATTCTTCCTGCTGCTGTGATAAAATGTCCTGACAAAAGCAACTATAAAGGGAGACAGGGCTTATTTGAGCTTATAGTTCAAGGTTACTGTACATCATGGTGGGGAAGTCACAGGAGCAGGAGCCATAGGCAACTGGTCACACTGAATTCACAGTTAAGAGTCAGAAAGTGATGAGTGATGAATGCCTGTACTCAACTCACTCTCCTTTTTATTTAGTCCAGGATCCCATCCCAGGGAATGGTGCTACCTAAGGTTGGTAGGTCTTCCCACCTTTACTTAAGATGTCCTTCAGATGTCCACCTCCCAGGGGATTCTAGATCTCATCAAGTTGATAATTGAGGTTAACCATCACACTGATTCCAAGAATATGTACTTTTTTTTTTATTTTGACAGGTACTGACATGGAGGCCCCATTAATTTCATTTCTACCTCCATAAGCACAATTATAATCTTTGGGGAATGGCTCCCAAATCTGTTCCCCTACTCTCTCTCTAATCCCACATATACATTTCTTCCAAATGTTAGTAAAATATTTAAGAGTAAAATTTACAGTCTCACTTTCAAAATGAGAGTGAGTCATAACTTGACTGCATTCATTAATTTCCTTTCATTCCAAACATAAATCACATATGGCTCTTTGTTCAATGTTTGTACCAACATACAATTAACTAGCTATTAAGATACCAACCCTACAAGTCCATACCATCCATCTTCTTCATATTTTCATGGACACTTGACAGGAAGTTTCCAGTTTCCATGCCTGGGTTACTATTATTCTATTGCTCAAACTCCCCTTGCCCAGTGCTCACCCACCAGCAATATACCATTATCTCTGTCTGAAGTGTGTCTTAGTCCCTCAATCAAATCTCAAAATGCCTACATTGAATGAATGAAGTATTTATGAATTTATTTGTACTTTTGTCTTAGACATTCTAATGCACCATGTACTTACAAAAGAAACTATAAATTCCTTCATAGCAAGGGTAGTGATGTCTTAACATATCCAGATAAACCTTCACTGCCTCAATACACCAAATAAGCAAACAAAGCTTTCAAATGAAGTAATTTCTACATATCAGACAATTCTTTAAGAAAAATATTCTACAACAGATATTTATATTGGAAAGTAAGAATAGAGAACCACCATAACTCATACATTAGGTAATGTTTTTAATAAAAATACTCCATGCAAATGCTAGATTTACTTCTTGACTTACCTCTCCCCCATTAACATATTCCATCACAAAACACAAACGGTCTTTTGTCTGGAAGGAATATTTCAAGGACTTGAAACAAAAAAGAAAAAATGTTATATTATAATCCTATATTCTTAAAAGTATAATGGTACCAAAAATAGAACACTTAAAAACAGTAAGCATAACTGTTGAACTGTTATTGTTTCTTAAGAGTATATTTACTTCATAAGAGTACTTTATAAGAAATACGAAACAAATTCTATTCAATTCACTTATTGTTGGGAGAAGAACTAAAATGGTAAGTAAAAGTAAACAGTAATGATGAGCACTTTTAAATCTGCTATGCCACTTGAAACTGAGTTGGTTCAAAAGTTCTCATCTGTGCAATCTCAAGGTCTAGCCTACAACCTACTCTGGTGAAAATTCCTCAAGAACAGAGTTACTCTTTTAATAAGTTCAAGTTTTTAATACAGTTTCAGGGTACTTTGTGCATGCCAGTGACTCAACTCAACACAGTCAAGTCTGTAATTTTGTATGTCACAAAAATATATCAAAATGTTCTTATTACACTGGAAAACAGACATGAAACCACATACAAAGCCTCAGTGTCTACCGATTACTTTGAAAATGTCTATTTTAGATAATCCTATAATATCACTATAAAGATCCATCATTAAGGTGTAACTGTTATTTTTAATCTTAATTTATTTTAGTGGAATAAGAAACAGAGAAACATTATAAATTATCCCTCTATTACAAGAAATTCCAGAATGGGACTTTCAAAAGTCTGTTTCAAAACAAACTGTATGCATTAAGTCAAAGTTCACACTGTCTAATGAATAAAATGTAATAAAATTTACGCTGTATTTAACATATCCAGTATTCCTATGTTTTTGTCTCAAAAGAAGTCTAATTTTATGTGATATGTTCAGTTAAAATTTCTATTTTTGAAAAAACAAAGTGCCCTGGTCATTAAAATATGTATCCGAAGCTAGTAAACAAAAGAAATATAAAATATACATTTAATTCTTTTTCCTTCTTTTTCTTCTTCTGAGACAGATCTCCCACTGTAACCCATGCTAGCCTGAAATTCAGTATGTGGCTCAGGCTAGCCTCAAGCATGGACTTTTCTCCTGCCTCAGCCTCCCCAATGATGTAATTACAGACATGTACCACCAAGCCGGAATTACGTTAGTGTTAAAAAATACTTTTTTCCTCCCAAGCCCATGTGACCCCTGAGGAACAGATCCTCAAACGACCTTAAGAGTCAAAATAAATCAGTTTATATGGACCAACTGTGTGGCCTTAAACACCCAAAAGGAAAGTATAACCAAAGATTAAAGGGGCCAATATAATTTCATAAGAGTCCGTATGTATAGCTAAAGGCTACATGACAAGCAACAATCCAGGCAAGCCATACCTTCTTTTGAGTTGTTGGCCAGGGTGGCCAAAGGGATTCCCAGATAGTAACCCAGCATAGAACTGGGAAATTGAACAGCAGACCCCAATCTTATCCAAAGGAACATTGACAACTGATTACCGCTAGATGAGGAACAGCTGACCCTCCTAAAACAAAAACCTCTAGATAGGCTGACTAGATTCACCAGAAGGGCAAGTAGTGGGGAATGGCTGGGGGTCCCGACAACACAGCAGACAGTAGCAGGGATATCAGAATATAAGGGCTCTAGTGGGGGAGGGAGGCTATGGGAGGGTGCTACCTGGGAAGTGGGTGTATAAAAAAAATTCTTCAAAGCATAAAAATTTGCTCCTTAATAATTAGTAGATGTGAAAAACATTACCACTGAAATCTACCTGATGACTTTATATCCATGCTCAGACGCCAAGGAGCTCAGAAAGTAACCATTTGTAACTAGTAATAATCAAATATATAGAGATTAGAAACGCATATGCATCTTAGTGCCAACTGTATTAAAAATGAATTTTTCTGTATGAAACTGTATTTTAATAATGAAATGGAGATCTTTTTCAAAGTTTAAAACCTCATTTAATTTTATGTCTTATAGGGTTTATATGGAGTACAATATTGTATAACTGTATTAATTCAACTGTAAACCTAATAATTTACAGCCAATTTTGAAAGAGAAGCATCTTAGCTCTGGAAATTGTAATTGAATATGTCAATGCTCTTGTAATAAAATGCCTCTTCTAATTATATGGTTATTAAATAAATAATTTTAAAAAAACACTTTTTTTTTTTCCTTTTTTTGGGTCTTTTAGATACAGGGTCTCCCTGTAGCCCCAGCTGTCCTGGAACTCACTATGCAGACCAGGCTGGCCTTGAACTCACAGAGATCCGCCTGCCTCTGGCTCCTGAGTGCTGGGATTAAAGGCATGCGCCACCACGGCCAGATAAAAAATACTTCTTAAAGTCTACCATTTTATCAATGAACTCCTTAAAAGGCCACAGGTGACCTACTTGCTCTGTGAACATTTTTCATTTTTTGAAGACAATGAGATTCAAGGGAGCAAACAAAAAGGATTTTAAAAAGTAGTACTGAAGTAACAAGAGGGATTATGAACACATAGAGACTACACTCTTAATTTATGTCTCCCAACTTTCTAAAGAAATTTGACTTTTGTCATGGTCATAAAGAAAATGAAACACCTAATTAAGTGTGGCTTAAAACACTGTTATAGCTTCATTTATGTAATAAAATTCGATTAAATTTAAAAATCCTAACAGTCTTCTAGGCACTTACTGTTAAAAACGGATGCCTAGTGTTCTTTAAAACTCTGCTCTCAGTTAGAGTGTGAGCCACTTCATCCTAGAAAGAAAGATGAAAACCATTAATACATTCTGTCAATACTAATAATATAAAGTTTTCACCATTTTCCTGAAAACATAAAACACTATGCCTAGAAACAGACAAGATTTTAATATACACTGGCATACTTCCTTCATTGCTTAGCTTCCCCTCTACCACTTTTCCCCAAAAACAACAAATTAAATGTTTAAGTCAGATGATTAGAAGGCATAAATTTATATAAATTTACTCCTACTTGATCAATATCAATAATGATAGAAAAATCAATAATAAACTATCCAAGATGAAGAAAATTAAATAGAATGTTTTCCTCCTCAAATTACTTCACAGCTAATATTATCGCAAGAATTAGTTAATATTTCCATAGTTATAATAAATTTTATTCAGAGGCATAAAGAATATAATCTAGGAAGGATCATAAAATGAAGTCTCCTACTTAAAAAAAATCAATTATTTAAAAAGAAATCAGAGTATACATGTAAATTAAATATTTTAAAAACAAAAAAGTAACAGAATACAAAGTACATCTTTTATCTTGTAGCTTTTAACATGTTTCATTTTAAAATGGTTTTAAGCTTCCCACTGTTAAATGAAAATTTTAGTGTAAAAGTACATTTCAAATAAAAAATACACTAAAAATGTATTTCTTAATTTTGTTCATAAATCTCATCTGGAATCAAAAGTGAACTAGGAGAGATTTTCTTCAACATGTGGAAAACTGGAAAAATGTTTCATATTTCATTCAAAAGTAAGACCATCTTAAAGAAGAAAGAAAAAAAGGCTGTTGCCAGGTGAAACTGTGCATGACTTTAATGCAAGCACTCCTGAAGCAGAGGGTCTCTGTGAGTTCCAGACCAGGCCAGCCTGGTCTACACAGTGAGTTCCAGGCCAGTTGCGGGGCTACAGGGAGAACCTGTCTCAAAAGGACAAAAACAAACAAACAAACAAACAAACAAACCCAGAAAAGGAAGATAATGGCTGAGAAACATCTCAATTCTATTCTTTGCTTCTGGCAAGATCCTACACAAATTCCTTGCTGGACCAGCTTAACAATGTCAGTAAATCAAAATCAGATTATAAAGAAAGAAATGTAGAGTAAAATATCAGGGTACTGAATTACATTTATTATTTTCACAGAAGCATTTAAGCTTAGTTAATACCTAAAAGAAAAATGAGAAACTGATTGATCAAAGTAGCTAAGATTCTAAGGCCATTTCAGGAGGGTATACCAACTTGGTATGAAACAGTAAAGTGAACTGGCAATGCAGTATTTAAAACCAGTCAAGCCACACATAAGCAAACCAGTGCAGTCTTACTTATTTTACAGGAATCAAGCTTAAGTATTCAAAAAATTTAAAAGTGACTGTCATATTATACTATTATTCCTAAATCAATAATAACATTTTAATATAAAATAAACCAGCAGCAGAAATGACACAGAACTTAATTTTTTTTATGTCCATTAGTACCTAGCATAATGGTTAGCATACAGAAGATATTTAATGTTTGTTGAACTGAACATCACAATAATAAATTCAAAGATTTCCTATAGGTGAGAGCTTATTCATGTATTCCTTCACCCATTATTACTTCAGTACCACAGCAACAGTATCTAGGTATAATTTACACCCTGGAGACAGGGCCTTGAACAAAACAAAAGTTCCTGTTCTCATGGAGTTTTCATTCTAATTAGCCAAACAGTAATCCATATTCATGGACAAGGCCACGAAGGGGCTATGTGACTAATGCACATTATACAACAAATATGAAGAACATAAAATACATAAGCATTAAGCAACAATATACACAAAACTAAATGCGTTCATTTCAAAAGTCCTTGCTGTGCACTTATGAAATGTTAATGGAATAAAGTTGTTTTATAAAAATGGTAAGATGTCTTTGTTCATAGACTTCATGGGCTAGTGAAGAAAATATATAAGTAACCAATATAGTGCACTAAGAAATATATGCAAGAAGATATTATTAATATAGCGTTACTAAGAAACGAACTTAAAAGAGTAGATAACATTTACTTGGTATAGATTAGGATGCTAAGTAACTGGAATCAACAAATTAGAGAAAAGACTAAAAACAGCTACTATCAAACCCATTTGGATCAGACAAAACAATCCAGTGCTTTAAAAAATATTTCTGTGGGTCTTTCATTGTATTTTGGTAAGATAGGCCCATCACATACAATATTTTCCTAAATCAGTAAATTTCATGGAAGAGGATGTTTTCCCCCTAAATTCTAGAATCTACTTAACCACATGGAAGGAGCCAAGCAAAGACGTACAGAGACAAAAACAAAGATAATATATTATTATATAATATATTATATATTATAATACATATATATTTGTTATATATAAGAGCAAATTGGAATACAATATACCTATCTTTACTGTATTAACATGTACTTTCTACCATCTTTTATAAATGACAAGATTAGAATTTTTCCCATTAATGCAAACTGTATTTCACATACTAATTAGTTTTTGCTATGAAGTACGGTATGCACAAGCAAAAAGTAAACACAGATGCCAATAATTTTTAATTACAGTTAAAAGCAACATGTCAAAACAGGAAGTTAAAAATAACAACAGAAAAACTTAGTGTCTGAAACAATGTGATGCTTATTTAAAAATTCGTTTGCTGATGGTAATTATAAGTGAAGACTTTTAGAAATGCTTAGATTTATGTTTTCATACAGATTTCCATATATTCAATCATAGAAAAATACTAACTAATGACTTTTAAAGTCTAATTTCTTTCTGAGAAAGAAGCTTTAGAGGAATGAGGGCAAGAGGCTCAACAGTCCTCCAATTTGTCACTCGTCCTCCAAGATACATGGTCTAAAATAGCACCTTCATGTGCTCACTCACTGTTTCCCCATAGGTTTTGTTTCTTGATTTGTTTGTTTTGACAGACACAAAGGTAGGAAAGGTGAGGAAAAGAGGACATCTAGGAAAAAAACCAGAGTTCACATCACTAATGGGGATCCCAAGGTGTAACTCTTTTGTTATTACGATGGCTTAATATGAGTAAACTGGAATCCACAGAACTTTGATTTCTTAAGCGCAGATGAAAAGCATATCATTCCATGTCTAGGTCCAATAGTAAAGGTCATTTCCACTTCATGAGACTGCTTCTTACCTTCGAACAACTCAGCACCTACTTAACTAGACATTTACTCTGTTCACATTACATTCTGTAGCTTGAGCACAAGTCTGCAGTGATTGACTCTGTCAGAAGCTAGCTGAAATCAGGATATATTATGTCTGGAAGTACTGCCTTCCTTCATCCTTCCAGAGCAATAAATGGGAACAAAGGAAAAGATGAAGTTGGTGGGAGACACAAGAGCAAGAGGGCAGAGAGCACATTTATTTTTCCTTAAAGCACAGTAACTGTCAGATCACTGTTTCTTTGTCCTCCGTCTCCAATCCATGTATCAGCAACCTGGGCCTGTTTGCTCACTTGCTTGCTTGACTTTTATGAGACATATCACACTTATCAAGCTCTAAATTATGCTTCTAATCTTCCTACTGTAAGTTTCGGCTTTGGACAAGATTCCAACATCTAGTATTTTTCCCACTCCATTTGTTGGACAGGTTACTCATTATTCCTTAATTTCTGTTCTGAAGATTTTTTTAAATGTTCTTAGAGAAAATGAAAACGTAATTGCTCTGTTAACTATGAACACTATACCCCCTACTCAAGCATTATATCTGATACTTTATCAGTGATGCTCCTGTTACAAATATTATTTCAATGGAAAGGGTCATGACCTCATTGGATTAAGATCCAATCACTCACCTCATTACTTCCTAAATGGAAAAATGTACTGCTGCTCTGCACTGGCCCTGATGATATGTATTCCTTTTCCGTCAGTTTTCTCAATCCCTAGTGTTGGGCCAGCATGAGTACAGGCCCTCCTAACTTCCTGAGAGTAGAGGTCCTCCTGACTCTAGCTTCCACCTCATAAGACAAGCAAGTACATGACAACCGCTCTCCAATCTCAGCAGAATCTTCTGAAGTTCCTTCCACCACGTCTGCTGTTAGGCCACTCTTCCAGTCTAAAGGTGGCATTTCACTTCCTAGGTTGCCTTCCATGCCTGCTATGAACAGTGATGTGAACAGAAATCCTTTCCTAGTTAAGCTATAGAACTGGGATGGAGGCCAAGCCCATCAGGATCTTCAAGATTAGGAGCTTCTCATCACATTGTCTGTATCTCAACCTCACTTCCTCACAGTTGGAAAATGTGATACTTCTTCCTTAGAAGAAAAATCATAAATAACATAATCCATTTGATCATTCTCGCCTAAAAAGCTGACCTTCTTATTTTAAGTCCCTCACAATCTCTGATGCTCCCTCTTTTCCAGGGTTGCCTTCCTCAGTCTCTTCCTCAGTCTCTCTTGTTGTTTCCTTTCCTCTGAATTCTTGTAGTAGAAGTCTATTCAGCATTCAGACCTCTGACCATGTCTCTTTGCTTATTCAGTCTTTGGCTCCAAATACAATTTACGTGCTACTAGACGTCCAAATTTACACCTTAAACATAGATGCATTTCCTAAACTCAAGTGCCTATTTAATATGAATTTCCAATGAATTACTGAAGCTTGGGTATCTAACAGAAACACCAACTTTGATATATCTAAAACCTAATTTCTAGTCTCCCACCATCTCCACAGAGAGAACAGCAGCAGCGTCCTCACATTTGCTCTGGTCAAAATTTAGTCATGGTCTTCGAGTTCTTTATTCTCTCATAACCCACATTCGATCTGTCCAGCAACTCTGCTGGCTCTTCATCAACATGCACCTGGTCTGATTATGTCTGATACCTCTACTACTACTACAGTGGTGCAAGTTGATGTCCTCAGTTATCTGGATTCCTTCAATTAACTCTTAGCAAGATCCCTACTTCTAAATCAGTTTATTCTCAATATGGCAGCCAAAGTGAGATTATGAAAATGAAAACCATATTATGTTATGGCACTGACTGAACAGATTTTATTCAGAGTAAAAACCTGTGTCTTTATGATAGCTACAAGTACCTAAACAATCCTACACCATTACTCCTCTGTACTAATAATGTTAGACTATTGGCTACTTCAAGAATATGTTAAGTATGCTCCTTCCTTAATGACAACTGACCCTGTTAAGAACATACTTTCTCTAAAATATCTCAAAGGCTTTCTTCCTAACCTGCTTCAAATGCTTTCAAAATTTTACTTTCTCAGTAAGGCCCTAAAGGATCATCCAATTTAAAAGCTTCAAAAGCCATAAAAAATACTTATTGTTCCTTATTCCTCTGCTGGGATTTTGGACCAAATGATTTCTAAACACAGAAGTACAATAACATCATTAGAGATATAGTTATTGACTAGCTACTGAGCACTGACTAAAACTACCTCTATCTTTATGTCACCTCCTGTCTTAAGTAGATCTCCCTGTGCCTAATATCAATGACATTTGCTATTAAATTTAGATTAAGATGACCTTATTGGTTTAAGGCCCTTAATTATACTCATAAACATTTTTTCCCAAAGCATTAACATGTTTTAGAGATTAGGATGAGAACATGTTGTTTGGGAGCCACCATTTAGAAGACAACTAAGCCTCCAAATAACCTTTAGTTCCACATGTGAATACACTTGTCATACCCCAACAGCCTCCAAAGTCTTGACTCATTAGTCTCTACCAACTTTTAAGTTCAAAAATCTCAATTAAATACCATCACTTCAAAAGTCCTAAATATTATCTAAGCCAGGAATGGATAAAAATCTGAATATAATCCATCCTGGGACAAAATATCTCTATATGATCAATTCACTTAAAATAGAAAAAAGTTACCTTCTTCTAAAATACATTATCTAACATCAGTTAGGTAGTGCCACTCAGAAAGGGAGAGACTAAAAAGAATAAAATGGTTACTAATCTAAAGCATATCTGAAACCCAGTACGGGAAATACTGTTAGATTTCAGAATCTGAGACGAATACTCAGTAATTTGCATTCCGTTTCTTTAGACCAACAGTGGTTCCATAGGCCTCTGGGTCTGTGGTAGCTCAGTTAGTTTAGCCTCTGCAACATGCCTGTGGCCTCAAAGTTCTTTATTTTTAAGAGTGATGTGATGCTTCAAAATTGAAGTCTATCAGCTACACCATAGCTTTTACATAAGGAGGGATTTGTGTGCTTTATCTATTGATTCTAAAAGCCAAATACCACATGGTGTTTCCAACAGTATAAGCAAGTAAATATCATTCACAGCAGAGCCAAATGGGACTACTGAAGGGATGAAGGAAAGGTTCCTCTGCATCAATAAGCACAAGCACCTCAAAGACAAGGCTTTGTAAGTTGGGGTAAAATCATCGCTTTCTTACACTCCATTTATCACTCACCACCATTCCTTATTCCATTCTGTTTTACATTTGAACTGTGCCTTTCTTCTATAAGTAATTGTTTTTTTTGTTCCTAAAAGCTACTTCCCCCTCCTTCCTGATTCCACAATGACAGTCAACCTAAGTTAAATAAACTAATATGGACAGACTGACTATCAACTTGGGAGTTTCTTATTTTTACATGGAGTTCTTGTTTGAATACTTAATGAATCCCATCTCTGACCCTTTAAATACCCTTCTACATTTGCTAAACAAACAGAACTGCAAAAGTTGTGACACAATTTGGTTTCCAATACTTTGCTGGCAGGTCCTGGCTCTCAATTCTCAAGTTTTAATATTAACTGTTTAGCCTTGATGTTTAAAACTTTCCTAAAGCTGTAAAACAGTGTGGGGGTGCTCTTTTCTTTCAAAACTCAGTGATTCAGTAGACCTTTTCAGTCTGAAGACAATTTCAGTTCTCGCAAATTTTATCTCTTCTCTACATTTTTGGATTTTGTTTTTCAGGGTCTCCTTGTACCCCTAGCTGGCTTGGAACTCACAATATAGACCAGGCTGGCCTCAACTGCCTGCGTCTGCATCTGAGTGCTGGGATTAAAGGAGTGCACCACCACACAGAGCTCTTTCAGTATATTTTTATTTTATACTTACAATACCTTTTATCTCTCTGCAAAATACTATTCCATGCTTGGCAACTTCTGTTCTGCCCCTGTTCTTACAAGGATCAACTCTTTCTTTTCTTTCTCGTGTTTATTTTATGCTCTTCAGATTTTTTTAAATCAATGAACATAATTTCATGAAGTATAGGAAACAATACATTCAACATGAGAAACTTGTAAATATTTGAAAGTTTAAGTAATAAATTAAATATAACCATAATATTATGTATCATTTGTTGAATTAAGACATAAATCATGGACTAATTCCTAAAATATGACATTTGTCTACTGGAGGGAAGTGGGATTCAATGAAAAACACTAAACAGAGAACTGAAATAATGAAACGTCTATTTATAAAGGTCTAAGTGAATAAAGTTAGGGGCTGAGGCTTAAAGTTGCCTGAAGAGTATTTTAAAATCTAGTCAAGATGCTTTCCCATCTAACAAAGTGTAAGCTCTATAGGTTATGAACAAAACTATTTACACTATTCTAATCTTTTTAAAAAGAAATTTGGAACACTGGAGGTATTATACTCTGGATCTAAAATGTCCCCAAAAGACCAAGTACTCAATCCTTAGCTGCCAACTAATGCACTTTTGAGAAGTGACTGAGTGCCCTGATCTCATCAATGGATTATTCCATTTATGATGGAAGGTGGTAGAAAGTGCAGGTGAGGCCTGACTGGATAAAGTAAGTCAATGGAAGTATGGCCTTGAAGGATATACCTTGTCCCTGGCCTCTGGTGTCCCTCCCTCCCTTCACCCCCCTCCTCCCTCTGTCCTGTCTGCCATGAGGTGAGCCATTATGGTCCACTGCATGCTCCCTGCCATGGGGTTCTGCTTCACTATCAGATGCAACAAAGCCAAGTGACAATGGCTTAAAACCACTACAACTGTGAATCAAAATAACCCTCCCTTCTCTTAAACTGTTTAATCTTTGGTATTCTGATACAGCAACAAAAAATTACCGCAGGGAAAAATACTAGAAAGTAACACTAGTGTAGTTAGTGATGTGGATCAGAAATATATAGTTAAAAATTCTTCCAAATATACAAACACAAATATTTCCTCAAGGGAATAAAAGAGCTTCATTAATTAATCCATAATTAATAAGTTTATTGCAAGTAGTGGTCTATAATCAATACCTTTGTCATTTAATGGAATCCCTACACTTTAGCATATACATAAATGAGCACAGATACATGGTCACACTGCAAACATGTAGACTCTTATCATTTATTTACCTTTGCAATAATGACTTCTTTCTTCAGAATCTTCATAGCATAATATTTACCACTTGCCTTCTCTCGAACCAAAATAACTTTCCCAAAAGTTCCTTTACCTAGTAGTTTCAAATAGTCAAAGTCATTCATTGTCTGAAAAATATAAGTTAGAAAATCACTATGAAATAGTTGGCACAATTTATTGCTAGCATGTGTATACACATATTTACAATATTCAATTAATATTGTTCTTACCAATTTCTAGATAATCTCAACTGATAAAGAAATAGACTGCCATCTGCTATCTCTTCAGCAATCCTGATGCTAAAAAGTTAACTTATGCAGCTCTCAGATTCTGGAGAAAATTATTTTGAACATACAATTTTTCCATCAGTCAAATTAAAAGTCAAGTGAAAGGGCATTTTTAAAAAGTAAAATGAAAAAAGAAAATTTAAAGGAGTTTTCAGGTTCTCAGGCTGTCATGGGTTTATTAGCAGCACTACCCTCAGACTAAGAGATAACCAAGAACAGGCACACAAACATTTCTTTTTTTAAAATATTTTATTTTATTATTTTTATTTTATGTGTATGAATGTATTGTCTGCATGTATGTTGAGTGCACTCATGTCGTGCAATGGCACGGAGGCCAGAAAAGAGCTTCAGATTCCCCTGGAACTGGAGTTAAGGACGGTTCATAGCTGCCATGTGGGTGCTGGGAATCGAACCCAGGTCCTCTTGCAAGAGCAGTCAGTGCTCTTAACAGCTGAGCCATCTCTCCAGCCCTCAAGCATTTCTTAACATGAGTAAGGAAACCACGTTTGAGGAACCAACTGAAGAAAAGAACAATAAAAACTGATAAACCTCCAGCCAGAATAATCAGGAAGATAAGGACATGAAGATACAATAAACCAAAACAAGAGATGAGAAAGGTAACATCACTACAGGACCCACAGAGATGAAAGGGCCCACAGGGAATAAACAACTTTATGCCAGCTAAAATTGACACTGAAATAAAAATGAGCAAATTCTCTTAAGTCTCAAACTACCAAAGCTCACTGGAGAAGTTGCAGACAACCTGAATAGATCTGCGTTTATAAGAAAAACTGAATTCGTAAATAAAAATTAATAGTCTCAGATGATTTTTTTATTAAGTAAAAAATAGTACCTATCCTACACAAATTATTCCTGAAAACTGAACAGAAAAATATCTCCCAATTCACTCTATGAGGCCAGCATCATTATGATATTAAAACAAGATGCAGATGCTGAGAAAAAATCCAAACTACAGACCACTGTCTTTCATGTAGACATTTGTAAAAATTTTAAACATTTAAGGAGCACATACCTACATTCAATTTTAACATTGCTTACCTAAAATTTTGATAATTTTCTCCAAATGACAAATTAGAATGTCTTAACCATTCACTAACACATTTCAGTTCAATGGAAAAACTAAATGTCACAAAGACAAAAGGGAAACAACAAAATGTATTTATTAATTCAACTAAAAATCAAACATGTGGCTGCATACACATGGAATACAGCAGCAAACCTACTGTCATTGAGTTAATATAATGTTATATATATTTAATTTCACTAATCAATTTTAAAATTATCAGAGGATAATGACTAAACTCTCAGACTCCAAAGATGGCTGTCCTGTTCCCACCAAACAGTACAAGCAGTAGCATCCCCCCTTCCCTCATCTCTCCCCTCCCTCTCTCTTCCTCTCTCCCTCTCTTCTTCTTCTCACTCTCCTTCTCTCTAGCAGATCATAGTCTATGATCAAAGTGGTACTTGGCCAGTTCCATCCGTAAGCTAACTACTCATAACTATAGAGTCAGCTTTTCTTCTGCGTGTATCTCTCTTGGAGGAGAGGTTATGAACAGAAGACCTGGAAAATAAGATACCACACACAGAAAGATTGCACAGAAGCACCAAGATACCAGAGCTGAAAGTCAGCAACAAAACCCAAGACATAACAGAAAGGTTTCTTTGGGCTTTTCTATGCCAGTCCATGGACAACACAGACGTTTTCTTGAAAACCTATTCAAGAGCAGCAGAACTGTTCAGCCACCAACAAAGTCATGAGAAACAACACACTACTATTGTTTTAAGACAGTAAGTTTCTGGTACTCCCACAGCAAATAACTGAGAAAGTCTTAGGCTCAGGTCATTTTATTGTTGAACATTTCATGTGGCTAGTATCTTCATTTTTCATCTAAAAGCACTAAGAAATGATATTTACTATACCCTATTACTAAATTTCATTTTTATCCATAAGTCTTGGGGACAAAGACAAGAAAATCATTTATAAACTATTTTATGCCATTTTCAGGGGAAAAGCAACATGTAATTATAAAATATTAATACTTTAAGAGATACAATACTTAGGGACAATGAAACTTAAAAAATGAAACTCTTTACTGAATTTCACAGCTCTTGTCATTTTGTCAACCTTTAAAAAAAGGAACTTGTGAAAAGAAATTAGTATTAGTTGAAAAGCATTTTATATGATATCATCGGAAAGAAATTCCATATATATTTTGACAAAACCAGAAAATTAAGAGATCTTTTTATACCAAATGCTCATATTTAGAATGACATACATAGTAATTATCCAGTCTTTGCAAAATGAAATAGAAGCTATCACAACATGTTTTCTTTTTTTGATGCTATTAAAGTAAAAGATATAGTAAGACTTTGACTTTAAAAAATGGAAGCATGAAGCCAGACATAATGGTAGAACTATAATCTCGGAGGATTATACGAAGTTCAAAGCTAGCCTGGGCTACAAAGCCTATCTCCCAAAAGGGTTAAGAGTATGGTAGGTGAGGGCATAGACAATCTTCAGAAAAATTAATCCATCAAAAATGGCTATTTTAGCCAAGGATAACTATATGTATAGATAACAATATACACACATTCCTTTGAAACATCTTTTAGTCCATATAGAATGATATTTAAATCTGACTGCCAGACTTTGTCTCTTTTCTTCACTGCCCGATTCTTCCTTTTTCCAAGAGTCTTACCTAAACCCCAGGACAAATTGGTTAGCAATACTGCATCTGTCTGCTACATGTGAGAGGCAGCAATCTAGACCTCTCCCAACATAGCCATCATAACCATTCAGCATCTTCTTTATCCTATGGCCCACTTTCAAAAATAATGAATGAATGAATGAATGAATGAATGAATGAATGAATGAATGAATGAAAAAGAAAGAAAGAAAGAAAGAAAGAAAGAAAGAAAGAAAGAAAGAAAGAAAGAAAAGAAAAAGAAAGAAGAGAAAGAAAGAGAAAGAAAACCAATGTATCCTACAAATTCTGAAAGCTTTATTTTTAATGTGTTGAAGTTCAAATTTTAAAAACAATCTGAAGTACAATTCTTTTTCTGTTTGGTTTGGTTTCTTGGGCTTTCTTTTTCTTTTTTTTTTTTTTTTAAGGGGGTTCCTTGTAACTCCAGCTGGCCTGGAATTGACAGAGATCTGCCTGTCTCTGCATGCTGAGTGGTGAAATTAAAAGGTCGAAGTCACCATGCCTGGCTGTAATTCTTTTTATGATGACCGATACACATACAGGATATAGTTCCAGAGCTAGTCATACAGAAGTGACAGTAATATTGACTGTTTTTAACTAATTCATTAGAAACATTACACAGCAGTCAGTGATAAAAATGTTCTTTTTCTATATTTCTTGTCATCTAAAACTTTTAAATTATTGTATTCAAAATGATATCAAGAACAATGGAAATCATATAAGGGTAAGGCCTTGAGCACAAAATAAATTAAAACTATTTCTATCAGCTGAGCCTGTGGCAAAGACCTATAGTCCAGCTCCTTGGGAAGCTGAGGCAAGACTTAGCACAAGTTCAAGGCCAACCTAGGCCACCTAATGAGAACTTGCCTCAAAAAAGTTTAAAATATAAAAACTGACTGAAACTAAAGCTCAACTGGTTTAGCTAAATCTAGAGCATGTGTGAGGCCATAGGTTCAATATCCAATACTAAAAAAAAAAAAAGGTTGTATCAAGTTTTCATTTTAGAGACTCAGTTTTAATAAAGAATTCGGGGGAGGGGGGGCTCGAGAGATGGCTCAGCAGCTAAGAGCACTGGCTGCTCTTTCAGAGGAGCCAGGTTTGATTCCCAGCACCCACAAGGCAGCTAACAACTGTCCGTAACTCTAGGTTCCAGGGGATTCAACTCCCTCTTCTGACCTCCACAGGCATTATATGACATGGGTGCACCTACCTACATGCAAGTAATACATTCATTAAAAAATAAATAAATAAATATTTTTAAAATTCTTAATATGTAGGAAGATGTTGATGTTTAATTATCTTTATGTCACAAAGTAGGATACTAGCTAACTGTAATAGCTTATATTGATTTTATACTTACTACATATAAATATTTTATGCCCCCTCATTTCAAACCTTACTGTATGAGTTAGGTACATTATACCCATTTAGCAGATAAGGAAGTTAAAGGATGAGCTAGGAGTTCTACCCAGGCAGTAGGACTCTGAAGTCTTCACTTTCTACCACTATTTATAATATTAAAATTCTACTGACATATGAAACAAAGAAATATGTTGTTTGCTGAACTTATATAATGTATAAAAGACTTATGCACTTGAGTAAGATAATTAACTTATTCAAATATCAGATGACTCAATTATAAAATGAGGTATCAGTAGTATCCACCTGAGACGATTTGTGTGTGTGTGTGTGTGTGTGTGTGTGTGTGTGTGTGTGAGACAGACAGACAGACAGACAGACAGACAGAGACTGATTTCCTGTAGCCACAGCTGACCTGGAACTTGCTATGTAGACCAGACTGGCCTTGATCTGAGAGAGAGCCACCTGCCTCTGCTTCCCAAGGGTTGGGATTACATGTGCACACCACTACTCACAGCCTCACACCACTACTCACAGCCTCACACCACTACTCACAGCCTCAGACAAGTTTTAAATGGATAAAACAAGATAATAAATATAGAAGTACTGCTCAGAGCCTAACACAAAACAAGCACACAAAAATGCTTTCAAATGATAATTAGTGATAATGAATTATATCTATATCACTAATTATAGAGCAAAACATTTTATGTATTACACTTATAATCAGCTGTACAGAAAAAAAATTCTTCACGTATTTTTCTACAATTATTTCTTTGAAAATTGTGTCTCTCTTTATTTAGATATTTTTCTGATAAATTTACATAGTTTTTTCTAATATTCTCCCATCCACTGGATATAGCACTTCAAGTTAGGGTATTCCAAAGTCATGGTCTTCAACTCCTAGCTTAACAATATCTTACTGCTCTGTTAAGTATATTTCTAGGATTCCAGAAAATTAAACAGGGTAGAACTGGTACAGTGTGTTTTTTAATATAGTACTCTAGAATTCAAAGGACCAAATTAATTGGGACTTGATTTAAATTTATTAAGACAAATTTCAATTATAGACACCTGGATAAAGGGAGTTTATAATTTGAAAAAATGGATAAAAGCTAGATTATATATTTCTTTCTGAATGAGAAACAAAGCAATTTAAAATGACTTAAGAGATATTCAGATCAATAACCACAAAAAGAAGGTATGTCTGTTAAGAAAACAAAAACATTTACAGACATCAAGCACAGAACATTATTTAGTTAAAACAAAAACTTCAAGGAAGATAAGAATTAATCCTAGAGAGGTATTATCAGGGGAAATGGAGGAAATGGTGATATTTTAACTGGGGAGGGAAGAAGGAAGGGTATACAGGGGGAAAGAGAGCGGAGATAAATAAATAATGCTTAGGTGGTATGAAAGACCAGAGAAAAATGTATTTGTTCAAAAGCTTACTGAAAAATACACGCAATAGATATACATATATACTTATACACACATTTTTATATGTGTGTGTGTGTGTGTGTTCATGTGTTTAGCAGAAGGGTATATAGCAAGAAACATAGTGCCAAACAGGAGAAATCTCTGTTTGAGTTGTTGGTCAGGGTAGTCCAAGAGACTCCCAAAATAATACAGGCTATCGCCACCGCCCTTGATTGCCTCCCAGAACTTGAAGGTAAGACCCTATCCCTGAAGACAAGGCCCAAGGCTTGGAGCAATTGAGTTGGAACTGATCTGGAAGCCTCTTCTCCGAAGATTAGATTTCATAGTATCAGAAGATACTATGCAAGTTTCTAAGGGAGAAAAACAATCAATGGCACCATCCAGTTGTAAAGCCTAATAACCACAACAATGACTGGTACAGCAAAATATCGCTATTGGTACAGATCTTGGGGGTAATCAATAGCTAACTAATTGGATTTATGGCTGGCTCAATGAGAGGGCACTAAGTGGTACTGTAAACATAGCCAAACACATGATCGACAGGTCATAGATCCTACAGAAAAATCTACAACTGTCACATCCTTAAACAAATGTAATTTCTTACTACACACTAAATATGTTTCCTTATATTTACAGACAGTGTACCTCTCACCATTCATCAAAGAAGCTGCTTTTTGCAACAGATGGAAATTCCTACAGAGTTCGATAACTGGTCACACACAGAGAATAAGTGCCTGTAAGATGCTCAGCCCTAAATGACACAGCTACAATGTAAACTCTATACTTAAGGCTCAGGGAACATAGAGGAACAAGGAACAGAAAGAATATTAGTGCATCTCGCAACTCACGCCAGCAAAGCTTCCTCATGCAACAGATGATGACAAACACAGAAAGCCACAACTGGGCAAAATGTAAAGAATAAAAGATCACAGAGTACATGTCCCTGGATAAAACTCCCATATTAAATATTAATATTAAACTTCTCCCACATAGGGGGCTCAAGGACCATTGCAGAAAAGGGAATGGAAAGATTGTAAGAGCCAGGGGTGGTGGATAACCACAAAGAAACCATTATCCAGGAGGCTGGGCTTGATCATATGAACTTAAAGCAATGGTGACAGTAAGCTCAAGACCCATGCCAACTTTAATGAGGGAAAATCCCAGCAAAGAAGTGGGGAAGTGGGTAAGAAGCCCCAACCATAGCTGAGGAACTATTGGCAACTGATCACTGCTAAGTGAGGGAAAGCTGGTCTTTTTTAAGGGCATGATGCTAGGTAGGCTGACCAGGCTCCAGTGGATGAACTCACATGGAGAGACATTTGGGGACACAAATGTAACTTGATAGGCCTTAACATATATGAAAGAATGCAAATGAAACCTGGTGGGGTGGCTCTGGGGAGGGTGTACATAGGGGAAGGGTTAGGTCTAAATATGATCAAGATGTATTATATGAAATTCACAAAAATTCAATAAAGTTTTTGTGCTTTTTCTTTTTTGTCTTTTTGAGACAGGGTTTCCTTGTAGCCCCAGTTGTCCTGGAACTCACTATGTAGACCAGGCTGGACTCGAACTCACAAAGATCCACCTGCCTCTGCTTCCCAAGTGCTGGGATTAAAGGTGTGTACCACCACACTGGCCAAAAAAATTCAATTAAGTTTTTAAAAAGATAGTTAGTTCTGGTTAGCCAGGCGTGGTGGTGTACGCCTGTAGTCCCAGCACTTGGGAGGCAGAGGCAGGCAGATCTCTGTGAGTTCAAGGCCAGCCTGGTCTACATAGTGAGTTCCAGGACAGCTGGGGCTACAGGGAGACCCTGCTTCAAAGACAAAAAAAAAACAATAATAATAATTAGTTCTGTAAGTTCTAACTATATAATTTCATCAAGTTCACATAGCATGTGGAAGAGACAGAATTTGAACCTAGGCAGTCAACTCCAAAGGTATTTTAATCACTATACTAACACGAAATTTCAAGGTAGGGATATAGCTCAGCAGCAGAGCACTTGGATACTCATTAGTTCAAAATCTCAGCACTGCAAAGAAAGAAGAAAAAAACCCTCATTGATAATACTTTGTTTTTGTCACCTGAAAATTAATTTACAAAGTAAACAATATATATAGTATATATATACACACATATATATTATATATATATACACACACACATACACATATACAAAAAAATGACATATTGGTTTCTTTTCAACCCTATCATTAGACTAATTTTAAAATACCATTTTATATTTAAAGGGGCTGTTTTAATTTCTTATAACAGTCAAAAACATTGTAATTCCTATAAAACTAGGTATCAGTATGTCATGATATTATATTATTCTGGAGCACTGAAGAAAGGAGGTTTTTTGTTTGTTTGTTTTTTCCTACACTGGATCAGGAACAGTTGTTAAAAATTATTATTTCTAAAACTATTCAGTTTCCAAGTTATTTTAGTGAGGTTGAGGGCACTGGGCAAGAGGCACAGAGCCAGTTCTCCTCTGGTTTTTAGGTAAACACATGATAACAAAAGGAAAAAGACAAAAAGTCATTCAGGGAAGCATTTGATTTCCAAGTTTCTAAAGTGGAATTACAAAGGAGAGGAAATGTAAATTACAAAGTTGTGAAAGCACATGGATCACAACTACCTCACAGGCCCACCAACAGTCAGCGCTGTGGTGCTGCTCAGTTACTGGATTTAAGCACTAGTTACTTCAAGTTCACACAAATACACATATAATAAGAAAACCAGCTGGCATCATTCTCAGTAGGTTTTCAGCACATTTCTTCCAGACAAAAGTTGTACTTAAGGAGAATCAAGTTACCACTAGTTTGTACCTTTCTTTTATGATGGGTTGTAGAAGCATCCATCTCTTCCTCTCCTATATTATCAATCTGCGAAGTTGGGCTACAATTCATCCTCTCTTCCTCTTGCCTCTGCAATCTGTCTGCTACAGCTTGGATAGCTTCTGTCCATTCCTCCCTATAAAAATGAATACAATTTCTCACTAACAGAAGATGATAAATGATCTAAATGTTTTATAAATTGCAAGTTCCATGCAACAGCCTACCCTCTCTACCATCATCCAAAGGAGAATACTAAAAGTATTTTTGCTGCAAACCTTAAGTCAGGAGTAGCACTTGTGTGTGTACATGTGTGCATGTGTCTATACATGCACACACATTTGTGTCTGAAAGAATGTGTGTGTCACAGTGTACATGCGGAAGTCAGAGGAGAATTTTGTGAAGTCACTTCTCTCCTTTACGTGGGTTCCAAGGCTTGAAGTCAGGTTGCTATGCTTGTACAACAAGCACCTTTACCTACTGAGCCATTTCACAGCCCTTCTAACTGAAAATATTTTAATTTCACATTCATTCTTGAAAAATACTCTTGTTTTATAGCACTTCCTTGGTTTTAGCAATTTTGGGGCCTCATTCCATTATCTCCAATTATTATTTTATTCAATATGTTATTCTTTATCCATTTTTTCTATCGTTCTATCACTGTTGGTCTAACTGTTGTTCTTTTGGGGGGAAATATATTGTTTCTCATTCACTTTGGTATTTAACAATCTAATTGGACTAGAAATTTTCTTTATATTTTACATACTTGGGCTTTATAAAACTTCCGATCCTGTGGTTTGGTGTGTTTAGTATTTTAGGAAAAGTCCAGGCGTTATCAGTTCGAATTCTCTCTACCCCATTCTCTCACAGTGCCCATCGGGAGAGTTCCATGGCCTATCTCTAGACCTGCTGCATCACCTTTGCCTTATATTCTATTCCCACTTGTTTTTATTTTCTGTCCTTTCTCTGCATGCTTCATGTGAAGGTGGGTGCAAAATCTGATGGCAAATGAGAAGAATGGAAACGCGGGCCTGTAGGAACTGGAGAGGTGATCACTGTGTTGTGCTGCTACTTGTATCAGCCATGAGGACAGTCAGCCACGACAGTCAACCCTATTATTTCTAATATTTTGATCATAAAAGTCTCAGAATCCTTCTCAAAATAATACTCCAAGTAGCCACTTGTAATCAACAAAATGTAGGCAAGCAAGCTACTTGAAACCATTTGCTATCAGAATTCCAAATGGAATTTGGAATTGTATAAATTATAAAAGGGAACTTGTTTATAAAAATGTCTTCAATTCTTTTAAATCGTCTTTCACATAGTGAAAGGTTCTTACCTTTCCTCTGGAGTATCTACATGAAATGTTCTCTCTATGACAGTGGTCCACTGCAGACATCTGATGATAAATGTGTTTGGCTTTGGTCGTTCTGTTTTCATTAACTGGCATTCTGGAAATAAATTTAAGTATCATTTAAATATACAAGGATTTAAACCACTGAGTGAACAATTAAAAAAAAAAACCATATAGTGCTATTCTAAACAAAATGCACTGCATCTCATAGGCTTCCTGTCCACAGATTTCTGTTTAAGGTTATTTACAACCTGACCTTATTGGTATTTCTTTCCAGTTCATCACCACTCTGACCAGTCCGACCACATAGACTATTCAATTCTCCACAAACACATCTTGTTCTTTCCTATATTTTTATCTTTGCTCCAGCTGTTTCTGCTACCTGAAAAACCTATTTATTTTACGCCTATCCATTTGCAAGTTCCAACCATCAAAAAAGCAATACCAACCCTTTAAGGTCCAGGTGAAATTATACTCATTCAATGAACTTTTTAGAATCCTTTGCCCCAACCTGACCATTTTCTCCTCTATACCTTCGTAACCTATTACTATGCCCTTGTCTTTGAAACAATAAGGTGTTCATAGTTTTTAACATTCACAGCCACTAAAACTAGTCAGTCATGACAATATTAAATTCTGTCAGGTAATATCTAGGAAGACTTCCAAGAAAAGGAGCACAGTATAGTTGTTAAAGGTATGAATTCCAGAGCTCTACAACTCTCCAGCAGGGGAAGGGAAGCAGAAGCCACTTCTGAAAGGTAAACCAGTTAAGAGATGGACAAACCTACCACAGGACAAGATCAAGCACTCACAAGTCTCAAATCCACAAAAAGTGGGTTTGCTGAGACAGATACTACTCCAGGGAACGGGTCAGCAGTGAAGAGAAATCCCATGGTGTCACTCTTCATGACTAGAAGGACAGCATCAAGGCACCAACTTGAGAGAAAACCTATTGTTAAAATTTGAACTACTAGGGGATAGAGAGATGGCTCAGCAGTAAAGACTACCAGCTGCTCTTGCAGAGGACTCAATTCCCAGCACCCACATCAAGACTAACAATCATCTGTATCTCCAGTTCCAGGGGATTCAACGCCCTCTTCTGACCTCTTCAGGCACTGCACAATATGGGTGCCCTTACATACATGCAGGCAATGCATTCATATATATAACAATAAATTATTTTTAAAAATTTCATGACAGGAATTGATGAACAAAGGGTATGTAGGAAAGAACAAACAACAACCCACACAACCATAAAAATAACCAAAAAATTACAAGAATTAGTAAACATCTTTCAGTATTAAACTTGGAAGGTAAATAACCTGAACTCATCAAGAACGGACACAGATTGGCTAGCTGGATTGAAATTAAATCCAGCTATCTGCTGCTTTCAAGAACATCCCACAAGTAAAAGCATCAAAAGAGTTAAAGGATAAAAGACAACCTATCAAACAAATAGAAACTGAAAACTAAACTGGTGTAGCTACTCTGCCTGCTATCTTTAAAATGGACCACATTCCAGGTCACAAATCAAGTCTTTCCAAATACAAAAGAAGGGCTGGGCTCAGTGACAGAACGCGTACCTTGCATGCATTAAGCCCTAGGTTCATTCTGCTATACTGCACCCCCCAAAAGATAAAACCAAAAACAAAAGAAATAAAATGATTTATCTTATCAGATCATACTGGAATAAAACTGGAAACAGCAGGAGAAACTGCACAAATACATGCAGTGAACAAAACACTCTTAAATGACCAGTGAGTCGTTAATTAAATCTTCCTAGACTCAAAATTAAAATTAAACCTTAACTTCTCAGAACCCGTGTAATAAACCTAAGGCAATTCTAACTGGAAAATGTATGCCTATGAGTACCAATATTTCAAATTTTAAAAGCAGAAATATCTACAAATAAATAAATCAAGATCTTAAAAAAAGAACAATCCAATCCCAATAAATAATAGCAAGAAATAACTACTTGATATGGATCCATTCAAACTGTTTTCAACCCATTCAGCTGCACATATTATTTATGTAAATCTGCATATATTTTTCTTGATATAAGAGACTACAGTAGTTCATATCATTTGATCAAAAATAAGAAGGATGTTCTTGTATAATTCTCTTTATATCTAGATTAAGCCATTTTCTTAACATTTATTGGTCTTTAATACTTACTTGGGTTTATTTAAAACAAAGGAAGATCAGGGCAGAAATAAAAGAAATGGCATTTCTTAAGGTAGGAATTCAGAAACTAGTGTACCTGAATTAAGTTTTTTCCTATGGGGAAATGGGCAGTGGGCCCCAACCTTAGCAAAGAACTATTGGCAGCTGATTGCTGCTGGGTGAGGGAGATCTGATCTTCTTTAAGGGAGAGACTCTAGATAGGCTGACTAGACCTCAGTGGATGAACTTGCACTGAGGGACATCTGAGTACAGTAACGTGACTCACTAGCCTTAACATATATGACAGAATGCATGAAATCCAGTAGGTAGACTATAGGGAGGTGCAGATGGGGAGGTATTGCAATGATTAAGATATTTTCTATGAATTGCAAAAAAAAATTTAAAAAAGAAACAAAAATATGTTTTAAAAAATTATATATACAATGTTAGATACCACATCTTCTGAGGTTAGCCTATATCATAGAATTTGTATAGGGATTAATAATTACACACACGTAATGCTCAGCATAATATAAGATGCAAAATAATCTTTCAATAAGTCCTATTATTAGAGGAGGAAGTGAAGATAGCATTAAAAGATATGTGGTAGCAGACACCAAGAGAAAGCAAGGGTACAGCTGTTTACTGCCTATGAGGTTTTGAAGGAAACTAATTTACCCCCAATTGACCAATTTATCAGTACTTACCTGTTTTGCCTTTTGTCTGTCTTAGTTTCTTATCTATTGCTGTGATAAAATACCTGACAACTGAGAGAGGCTTTCTTTCAGCTCACAGTTCTAGGTTACAGTTCATCATGATGGGGAAGTCACAGTGACAGGAGCTTGAGAAAAATGGTCACACTGCATCAGCAGTCAAAAAGCAGGGATAAGAAGGGTGTGGTGGCAAAGCCTTTAATCCCAGCATTTGGGAGGCAGAGGCAGGTAGATCTCTGAGTTCAAGGCCAGGCTGGTCTATATAGTGAAGTCCTGTCTCAAAAAAAAAAAAAAAATAAGGACAACAACAAAAAGGGGATGAGGAGACAGGAATGCTAGTACTCAGCTCATTGTCTCCATTCACTATAGTCCAAGAGACCCTACCCAGGGAATCGTGCCATCCACAATGAACAGGTCTTCTCATCTCAAAGTGCTCAAGATAATCAGTCACAGACAATATCCAGAGGTCCACATTCCAAGTGATTCTGTCAAGTTGACAATTAACACTAATCATTGCACTATTTATTTATCCTTAACAACGAAACTATTGTTTCTACATCTTTACAGTCCAACACATTACTCAGATTAGTTCTCAAATTTTTACACTGAAACACATCAGTCACTCAAGGCTTTATGCTTAGTTTTCTTCTCTTCTCTTTTTCCTGTTCTTAGTCATTCCCTTTTATTTTCCCATTATCGAAATCTAAACTCTGTATCTGTGTCTCTACTTTAAAACACAATTTCAGGTGCTGGAAATGTAAACTTAGGGGAAAATATGTATATGGTTCTGGTTTATTTAATCCAGAGGAAACACACATGCACACGTGCACACAAAATCAATATAGTGGGCATTTCTACCAGACCTAAAACCAAAGAAGTCACCATTTTTCTCCTTAAGTCCATTCCTCCTAGCTTTCCTAATATTTCTATAGCCTAGACTGACCCATGGAGTGATGCTCCTTTTTGACATTGGATGTATTTATCTGTGTCTGGTTTATTCACTCATGTACTTTATTTCAAATTCTCACTACCCAATGCCTAAAACTCCTAGCTGTCATACAACCAAAAATCTTTCTACACTGAGATGGTGAGAGGCCACAGAAGTTATTTAAAGAAACAATTATTTTCTAAGTTCTAAGAAGGACTCCTGCCTCTCCACCCCAGCTTCTTCTGCCAACCCCCTTTGTTCATTGCAGGTGAGCACACTTTCATCTTTTTAACTGCTCAAGGCAAAAACCGTGGAATCCCCCTGGAGTCCTCTCTTCTTTCACATGGAAGTTCACTGATTCTGGCTATCCTGTTGGCTCTACTTCCAAAATACACACAGTTCCTCAATAGCTCCTCACTACCTCCATTATTCCAGACAAGAACTAGGACCTTTCAAAAGCTCAGCTCCCTCTTGACCCTCACTGGAATTCATTCTTAACATAGTAGCTAGAAATACCAAAACAAGTAACTTAAAAGAGAAAATTGTTGGGGTACCCCTTCAGTGGGTGTATCTAAAAGACTCCCAAATTGCATAACTCTTATCTGTAGGGAGAAAAGAAAGTCCTTGACTGGTGAAGAGGGGATGTTAAAGAGAAGTAAAGGCATTAGCACTACAAGTTCTAGACAGGGAACCAGAAAAAAGTCAGAACAGTGAAAATTTCAAATGTTCCTATCAGAGTCATTGGGATTTCTTGATGAGCACTTCCAAAAGAATCCCTCCTCTCCTCATTTTTCTTTTGTCTGCCAAGGCTGTACTTGAGAGTGATGGGTGCATTCAGAATGGAAGAAGCCAGAGTGAACTGCATCCCAATTCCCTATTGGCAATTTGGGTAACCTCTTCAGAGGATGGTGTGATAAGAATAGGAGGTAGGAATTGGCTAGGCAGTTAGAGTAAAAAAGACCCCAAAGAAAAGTAGCCAGTTTCTTGGCTAAAAGTCAAAATGTCCTTGGGCCTCTTAGCAACATACTCTGTTCCAAAGGTCAAAAATGTCAAAAGTATTTGGGAGCCCTTATCTAATCCCTGAAAGATTTTAGGGTTACCTCTTCAGAGAGGGTAATGTTAGAGTAGCAAAAAGCCCCATAAGAGGGAAGGAGGGAGGGAGGGAGGGGTTGTCCCTGTTAGTTTGAGATAATAAATTATGTTAATGTTAGGAATTTTTGTCCAGTTCTTCCTATAACACCAGGGATATCATGTCTGGGTACATGGTAAATAATGCCTGTCATTGATGAACTG